TAAAGTATGATTACTTATAATTTATTTGTCATTTATCTTTTTCCCGTGAATTTATATATATTCTGATTTTTATTCATCGTAGAGAAATGTTTGAGATTTTATGATACTATATTTTAAATGTTGTTTTTCTAATAAGTTGAAAAATCAAAGAGTTAAAATATTTTTTTAAGTTAAATTTGTGGTTAAAGGAAATGAAGTTGATTGAGTGTAAGATTTTATTTTTATTGAGTACTAACACGTTTAATAAGAAAGAGACCGTTCATATTTCATGAAATATATAGATCTTAAAATTAATATAGAAAACATTGTTTTTTTAAGTTTTAAAAATATGGTATAAGTGATAAAGTTAAAATAAATAATAATACTTAGTCTTATATTTATTTTTTATCGAAATATTATATGGTTAATATTCAGTGAAATCAACTCATAAGAGTATTTTTAGTCTTTGCACATCAAAGATAAGTCTATTTAACAAAATATTTATCACAATTAAACTTGAGAACTGAGAAACATTATTCTAATGCCTCAAAGGCCACTAGCCATATATTCAAGTACAATTTGCATATGTGAAAGAGTTATTATAACTGTTTCTATAAACAAAGCATCTTTTTTTTTTGTGAACATTGTAAATAAAGCATCTTCATATATCCCCAGCTTCTTCATCAATCATTAGAGCACACCAACCATGAATGCAGTCTATCTTTTTCTCTTTCTCTTCTCAGCCATTATTATAGCTCTTCTATCTCTGTTTTGTTTTTGTTTTTAAACGTCAACATAGAGTATATTGAAATGAAAGGAAAACAGATTATATTATAACAAAGTGCATTCAATGTATGAAGATTCCAATGGCTAATGGCGTAGCCATTGCTCAAAAGTAGGAAGCGAGTGGTGGAAAAGAAAGCAAACTATGGCCTACCATATATAACGATCAATCCAAAAAAGACACCATCTATTATATGGTTTTTCATATAATAATTAGGAAACATAGCCTACCATATATTTTTAAAGAGGCATAGTCTTGTATTCCCTAAATAGCATATATATAAATTTGATCGGCTAAACATAAATTAAATCTCACAACAAAGAGTTAATCTTACATTTCCGGTATAGAACAGACATAGGGTTGATTGTGTTGATAACATCCTCTATATATTAATTGAGGAGACACTAAGGTAAAAATTCTATGTGTCACTCAATGAAGATATCAATAAACATGTCATCTAAATTAACCAATGAAAATATTTCAGTTAATTATAGATATTCTTATTAATTTTTAGCATAAATCTATTAATACATGTTTTGCAAATCTAAATCCGATTAAATGTAATATTTAGACTTACCATATTATCTACTTTAAAAACTTCTTTTATACTGAGAAATTTTAAAAAATATTATTTATATTTTATAAACTTTTTATTATTATATTTGTGACAATATTATTTATTGTTTATATATGTATTTAGATTAATATGATAAATAAAATTTTAACACATTTCACTATGGAAAAATAAATATTGTTTTTTGTTTATTATATCCGGAAAATTCATATAAATCTAAAATTTAATTGATTTATCGCATATTCTATAATTTACACAAATATTAAAAATTAATTTTACACTTAAAATATTTTGAAATAAATAAAATTTTCATATGTTCTGATCAATTGCACATAAAAATATTAAAATTGATGGCATCAAAATATGGTTGATCAAAATTAACTTGATTATATTTATGCACAATGCATATCATTTTGTAAGTTTATAAATATTAGAAATCATATAATTTGTTAGACACATTTACATATTATAATAGATTAAAAATATATTAAATTATTTAATTCCACGCTTGGCGTGGGTCATCATCTAGTGTTG